TTTATTTATTTTTTTGAGAGACAGAGAGAGAGAGAGAGAGAAGGGCAGTGAGAGAGGGACAGAGAGAATCCCCAAAGCAGGGCTTGATCCCGTCAGATCATGATCTAAAGTCAAATGATAGATGCGCTCAACCTACTGAGCCACCCAGGGGCCTGTTTTTTATTATATCCTTTTATTTGACCCCCTCCCAACGTGATATGTCCTGGGAAGCAAGCGTTCCACACAGAACTACACTATTGCAGCTCTGATGAGGTTTACATTGAGTAGCGCAAGTGGGGTAAATATATAGACCTTTCAAAAATATAGTGAAAAATGTAAGAAACAGGGTATCGTGGTTAAGACTCTACAAGAGCTGAGCCATGTAAAGACTGATGAAGAGCAAATATGGACAGAATAGTCTGAAATACAAGGGTACATGTATTGAATGAGTGACTTTTGAAAGAAGAGGACATAAACTGGTTATGGAGGAAAGGGCAGCTCAGACTGGGGTAAACACTAACATTGTATGTGGAGTGCAGCAATTCGGTATTTGGAACCTAGTCATAGAAAGTCTGAAGTGGCAGTAATGAGAGATGGCATGGTAATTAGATAGGGGGAGAATGGAGGAAAGTAAGAAGAGCCTTGAAACATTATTTATGTATGTGGATTTGATATAATTAGTTGATACGATTATATATAGTAATTAATTGATTTAATTATTCATAAGTTTAGGTTTTTGAGCAAGAGAGGTACCTAAGAAAAATCCTGAGTAGCATGATTTTCTCAATGCAAAGGTCAGATCAGCGCTTCTCACTCAGGAGCGCTTTTGCCCTCACCCCCTGCTCTACCCTCCTTGGGTGGGGGGTATTTGGCAATCTCAGAAGACACTGTTGGTTATCACAATTGGGGAGGCAGGGTGCTACAGGCATCTAGTGGGAGGAGGTCAGGTGTGCAGCTAAATATAAAACACAGGACAGCCTTCTACAACAAAGAATCATCCAGCCCCAAATGTCAATCATGTCAAGATTGAGAAACTCTGGGCTGGATTCAGGGAGAGAAGTAAAGTGCTTAGATTTTGCCCAAAAGTATAAGAACTAGGTCACAGTTCTTCAAGTGATCCCTTGTTTATACAATTTCTTCAACCAATGAACCCACAAATCTAGTATGAAGAGTAAAGATAAAATCATTTATGTTCAAACTTAGAAATATTCCAAAATTAATTTTACATTCTGCTCTTAAGACGTGTTTCCACTCACCAACAGGGATGAATCTCAGAAACAATGAACGAAAAAGCAAGTCAAGCAAGAATATATTCAGTATGATACCATTTATATAAGGTTTGAAAACAGTGAAACTAAACAATATATTATTTGGGGATATATACATATAGCTATATGAAAAAATGAAGGAATGATAGCACCAAGATCATACAGAATAATATTTACGTTTGCAAAGGGGAATGAGTTTGGAGAAAAGCACAGGGGTCCTTAAATAGATTGATTATATTCTATGTTTTAGGTTAGGTAGTGGGTTCTTGGGTGTTTCTTTTGTTATTGTACTTTATAATGTACATAAATGTCATATATTCTTTTGGGTGTATAAAAAATCACATATAAAAAGAATCATAAAATTCAGTATAATAGAAGGGTGGACACTAAAGATTTTTTTTCCTTTAAGTTCTATCACCACCTGCAGGTTAAAATTAGGTACTGCGAAAACAGTTCTTTTCCAAGGCCAAATTAGTGAGTATCAAAATACAGTAAATGAACTCTGCAAGGCATTTGGGATATAAAGAACTCCCAAAGGCAGGGTTTTTGCTCTCACCATACGTAAATCCATCTGTGGATAGAGAACACTGAACACGTTAAGGAGATAAATGAGATAGCACAAAATGTTACACTGTGAGCATCCCTGGTCAGTGTCAGGTGGCAGATCAAAAAAACAGAAAAAAATGCCATTTTACACAGCATGACAACTGACTTAGTTCGCCATCAGAATCCAACTCCTTGACTTGATTCGTTTTGCTACTACCTTAGGCCAGGCCTTAATTACTTCATGCCAGTTAACACCCACCGAGCCTGTTGCTCTGCTCCTCCCTCTAGCCTGTTGTAAACATTGCCGCTAGATTAAATTCTTTAAATAACTACTTCATTCTATCATTGTTTTTTCCAAAGCCTCACTGCGATTTTACACTATCTACAGAACAAAGCTCATTCTCTTCAGATTGACAGTTAAGATTTTTCTACGGTCTGTAGCAAATATACAGATACCTGTTCATCAGTCTTGGCTATCCTCTCTTGCCTCCGCATTCCGAAACCCGTAAGAATCCTCTACTTCACCCAGGCTGGTTTCTGCATTATCCATCACTAATTCTGGTTGTACTATGTGGCTGAAATGTGCCCCTTTCCGCTTACGCCTTATGCCCCCTCTCTCATGTTTAATATGTGTATAAAGTTGTTCATAAATGTGGGAAACTGAGATACAGTTTCAATGTGTATCTCTGAGAGGCCACACATGTCCCCCATCTACATTTCCCCCAGACTGTTGCCCCTAATTTCATTCTACACAGAAATCCTGGAGCCATCATTATCTTCGAAGCAATATATCAATATTCTCTCTCTGAATTCCCAAAGCACTTACTGTCTGTATCATTTATTTGCCATATTCATACACTACTGATACTAAATCGATTCATTTGCACTAGGTTTATTTTCTGAATTAGATGTTAAGTTTTTGGAAGTCTGGAATAATTTTATAGTTTTTCAGGTTTTTTCTTTCCTCTGTTCTCTGCTAAGATCAGTAATGCTCATATTTGAGTTGGAGGGTCTCTTTTATTTTTTTATTAAAAAAATTTTTTTCAATGTTTATTTATTTTTGACAGAGAGAGAGAGACAGGGCATGAGCAGGGGAGGGGCAGAGAGAGAGGGAGACAGAAATCCGAAGCAGGCTCCAGGCTCTGAGCTGTCAGCACAGAGCCCAATGCGGGGCTCAAACCCACAGACTGAGAGATCATGACCTGCGCCCCGGAGCGTGTCTTTTTTTTTTTTTTTTCAACGTTTTTTTTTTTTTTGGGACAGAGAGAGACAGAGCATGAACGGGGGAGGGGCAGAGAGAGAGGGAGACACAGCATCGGAAACAGGCTCCAGGCTCCGAGCCATCAGCCCAGAGTCTTATCATGACCCGGCCAGTTCGAACTCACGGATCAAGCGAGATTGTGACCTGGCTGAAGTCGGACGCTTAACCGACTGCGCCACCCAGGCGCCCCGCGGAGCGTGTCTTTTAAATACAAAAATTTCTCAGACTACTCCCCTCACTAAACAGGCATAATAGTATTTTGACATTTTTTAGAGACCATAAATTTAAAAGGCATAATGACAATGTTGATTTCAGTAATGCTTTTAAATTCACTTGAATGGTTTTAATAAGAGTAGCTTCTACATATTTAAAAATAAAAACATGTATAAAAACAAAATGATGATAGTGATAATAATAATGACAACTAATGTTTTGGAGCCTTACCATGTGCCAGTAATCTTTTCCACTCATTCTCTTAGTTAACCAAAAAATCCCTCCAAAGAGTACAGTAGACCTCACTTCCACCCCGGCTCTACCACTTGGAGCTGTCAGAATTTTGGTAATTTACTTAAATTCTTGCTTGTAAAATGGAAAGAATGCAGAATCAATCTCTTCAGGATAGTTGGGAAAATTACGAAAATCACAACAGAGAAAATGTTTCACTTGGGCCTTGTACAAAATAAACACTACTTGAAAAAAAAAAAATCCCTACAAGGTAGGCAACATGACTGCCTCCCTTTCATTTTATAGATGGGGCAATTGAGGAAAGGATAAATAATTTGCCCAAGATCTTAGAGTGGGGGAATTAAAATGGGGCCCAGGGCACCCTGTCCTTTGGATGCCCACAGCATTTTGTATTCTTACAAGACAGAATTTATTTATACATCCTATTTTTCCATCATTCACTAAAACATGAGCCCTTCAAGAGCAGGGACTATGTGTTACCTAAATAATTATCAATGTTAGACACACAGAATGTATTAAAACATATATGACAAAGTCTCATAGCAATGAGACTGAGCCTGGGTATAGTTTCAGGAAGAGCTTTATTTACCTGAATTATGTATTGAGATATGGTTCTATTAACTGGCTTTTGAACAATTTCTGTTGGTTATGAGAACAACTTGTTGGAACCTAAATGTCTATTCCTCCTCCTTCTATTTTGCTTAAAACAAACCCATCTCACAAACTGTCTAAAAATAGAATGCCCTTGCACTCAAGTAAAACTGAAGGTGTTTTAAGTTTTCAGAGAGGGACACTGAAGGCCTTAAAAGTCACCATCACATTTTTCGTGTGTATGTGTTGAATGTTAAGAAGGAAACAGCAGGCCCCCAAGAGAATCATGAGTGCCAACCCCCAAATCAGAAAACCAAGACCTAATACCTAACCTGACTGCAGTTTCAACACCCCAGAAATGTAACCTTTAACCAGTCAACCTGGAATTACTTGGTCAACAGGTTAGTAATCCATCTGGTAGGCCTTTCTATTCTACATAGGAAGGCAACCTTGCCAGAAACAATGCACTCTTTGCTAATAATTTCCTTTTTCCAACCCTTCTGCCTTTAAAAAACTTTCCTTTGCTACTGCTCCAATAGATCTCCTTTCTATTTGGTACATGGGATGCTGCTCAATTCACGAATTGAATAAAGCCAATTAGATCTTAGAATTCACTCAGTTGAATTACGAATTTTTACGGAGAACCTATCAATTCATTCTCGACAGAGGTACCGATGAGATAGGAGCATCAATAAAAAGAGAATTCAGACACTAGTTTTAAGCGAAATCTCCTTCTACTAAATTTTGATTGAAATCATCTGGCTCTTCCAAGAAAAAACTGGGACATTAGTCCAAGGTGGTGTTCATTACTAACATTTAGGATTCTCCCGCTGACTAGCTATATACAGTTAAGTGGTTTGGCCAATTAACTTCCCATGATTAATGCCTACCGTGTAAAATCAGGACTACATCGTAAAGGCCCTTCTGTTTCCATCTCTTAGTAACTCGGATGTAGGTGTACAGTGGACAGAAGAACGACTTTCGTCTTTTCTCCTCTTTCCGGCTAGAGTCCGGAGCAGGCACCCACACGAAAAACCAGAACGAGCTTCCGGTTTTCCAGCTAAGGAGGGGGCTCAATCTACTTCCGCACAGGCCCGGAGCCTCCCAATCACAGAGCAGCGCCGGGATCTCACAGCATGCCGGGATTTGTAGTTATCCCTCTCGTGGAGGAGGTACGGGGGGCGGGGTTCATAAACCAGGATCCAGTTGGCATTCTGGGATATGTAGTCTCTGGTTGTTCGTATAGTCACCGCCAGGCTAAAGAGCCCGAGGTGACACCAAAGACTTCGGCGGTCACATGACTCCAGCCTAGAGCGTCGATCGCACTGCGGCTCCCGCCCCGGCGAATTCTCGCCCCCGCGCGGCCGTTGCCGAGGAGACGGCGCAGTCTCACGGCGCGTTGCCCCCTCTGCAGTCCCCCCGCCCCTCTTCTCCCACCACAATGAGATCCTAAGATGGCGGTGGCTGCGGCGGTTGGCGCCGACTAGCTAAGGTAGAGAAGGCGGCCATTGGGCCCTAGGCAGCCAGGGAACTTGTGGGCGCTCCCTGCTCTGGTCTCTGAGGGAGGACCCCTGCCGGTGGCGGGTCGCAGGGCCTGGCCGCCACTCCACCCTTGGCAGGAGGGGCTGCTTCGTTTACAGGTAATGCTGCGCGTCCCCAGCCCTTGGCAACCGAGGGCAGCGCGGCGCAGGGGCGGGAGAGCAACGGCTCTGGGACACTTGACCCTGTAGGCCCTGGCCTCGGGCCCACACCTCTCTGTGGGTTCCTGGGTTTTCACGCCCCTTTCCCCGGGCCAAACGCCGCGATCTCCGGGTGAGCACCTAGGGACGGGTTAGCGACTGCCGAGCCCCCTTCCTGCCTCCGCGCCCCTCATTTTCTGGCTCCGGAGAGGGGGGCCGCCCTGCGTCTCGTGTGCTACGGAACGTCCCTTGCAAGTGGAGGAAGCGGAGCGGGGGCTGTGGTTTGGTTGCCAGGGACAGGGCTCGAGTTCTCCACAGCTAGGGGCCTTAGTGGCCTTAGTGTACGTGACTGCGCCCCCTCCCACCCCACTCCCAAATTCCATCGTGTGACGCTCTCGGTGTCCAGAATTTTGGGTGCCGAAGGCCAAGTGCGGAGCGACGCGACTTTCGGGTTGGGATTTTTGAGTAGCGGATTTTTGCTGTCTTGGGTATTCTTAGAGCAAAAAGGCTAGGGGTGGGGTGGGGAGGCTTTCCTGACTTTGGCAAAGAGGTGGTTTATACTTGTGAGAGGAATGTTGGTTAATTTAGCAACCCCCCTCCCCCCCCGCATTGTTTCCCTTCTGCACGTCCAGTTAGAAAGGGCCTAAGATGGGGAAAACTAAATGCCAAGTGGGATTCGGGAAACATTGCTTGCTTTGCAGAAATGGTGTTTGGGGATTGGATAGTAGGCCCTGCTAGGGAGGCGGGTCATCCAAACTTTTCATCCTGCGGCTCACTTCTCGGGAGCTCGTCTTCTCTGATTTTTTCTTTTTTTCTTTATTATTTTCCCCCCTTTTTTCACCGGTTTGAGGTCTGTGTCATGTGCCTTATGAGTAACGGATCGTAATTTGGCGCTGGAAGAAGCGGGCTTTCTGGGCGCCCCTATCACCCCCGCCTCATAACTGCTTTCCAGACTCCGCCTTCTGGTATTCTCTGGTTACCGGAGTGGGTGTTAGAGAGCTTCGCGTGCACCTGCTCTTTTCTTTCCCTATCACCTTCCCGGTGAGAGTCCTGGAAACCATTATAAGGAGTTTTTGAACAGAAGGTAAACATGTGTGTATATCGTGACAAGGTTATTTTCTTTTAAGTAGCTAGCTTTCAAGTAAATCTTTTTTCATCATTGGAAATGCAAAGCTCTAGAATAGTTTCAATGGCAGAAAGTTAATGACTTGATTTTGGCTTGGATGTTTACATGAAAATTAGGGTGATCATTTTCATTATGCACCAAAGTAGATATTAATGTATCACATTGTTGTTTGGAAGATTTAATCACTTAAGTATATCATAGTTTTCCAAGAGGATTAAGGTAACCAGTCTAAAATATTGCTAAATTGGATTTTTCCTTTTCTGTTCATTTTTATAAACATGTTTTAGGCTATAAATATAGTATTTATTATTCTGTACCTTATAGTGTAAGTAAAGAATTTACTAAAGTGACTTTTTTTGTTTTAAATCACAAGCAGGCAACAGCTTTGAAGTGTGAAGCAGAGAAGGAGCCGTTTCTGAGCTTTAAAACTAGTTTTAAACAGGTAATTTGACCTAATTATGTAGGTTATCGTCCTTTGTGTTATAGTTGAAGACTATATAGCGGAGACTGCTGCATGGTTGAGGTTCCTCTCTACTTAGTAAACAGACATTCTGGGTTTGCTGCCCTGTTTGCCTTGTTTTTTGGCATGCCACTTTGGTCTGCCTCCATACTTTTGCCAGAAAAGAGCCATGTTATTCCTAATTACTAAATAGTGGAATAGTTGAAGCACTGCATTTTGAATTGTCTTTGTCTTCACAGAATTTCTTCAGCCCATTTGTGTTTGAATTTGTCCTGTAACAGCTATTGGATAGCCTCTCTTTCCAAATCCACTTAATCTTAAGTCATTTTCTATAACTTTTCTATTAATTGACTTTCTATTTTTTATTCACAAATTCCTCTACTTATTTAGGCTTGTGATATTTACTCTTGACTGAAGTTTTGCTTTTTTTTTTTTTTTTTTTTTTT